GTAATTGCTTGTGGTTATCAAAGCTTGAACGGCTTGAATGTGATTGATTATCAATTGACATATGACTTTCTATTTCATGATCTGAATCATCAATTAAAATATAAGAACTACTTGCTTGTAGAGATTCTTTAAACAATGAATTAGTACTTTCTTGAGTTAAACCTTCAAGAACGGTGTCAGTTTGGGATAAATTATCATTTGATTTATAGTTTTCTTGAAATGTTTCATCCAATAAAAGATCATAGTTATCATTTTTTAAATCTATAGAATTATACCGATATAATGAATCCTATATATATAATAAATAAAAATTAAATATTTTATTAATATTATAATAATAATACATATAATATGTAATTATTAAATTATTTACATTATTATCATTATTATAATTGTTATTGTTATAATTATTGTCATCATTATTGTCTAAATTAGAATTTTGTGCACGCCATTTTTCCTTTTTATTCCAAGAATTTTGCAGTACAGTATCGGTATCAGTATATTCCTCAATCATACTATAATCTCGTGATATATTCATTTTGTTGTCAATTATACTATCATTATTAGATTTGAGATCATAATTATTATCATTATTGCTATCCTCAATTACAATTATTCTATCGCTATTATTCTCTGTAAATAAATTTAAAAATTTATAATTAATAAATAAATATAAAATTAATTTTCATAATTAATTTTATACCATAATTGTTTGATAAATCATCATTAATAAATGTGGATTGGTTTTCTAATAGAATATCTTCTTCGTGAACAATATTTTGACGATAAAGCATTGAAATCATTTGTAAATCAGCTTGTGGTTGTTGTCCAAATACAAGCTCATACGGTGTTGATTTAGTTGTATTACACACTTGATTATTCATTGCCCCTATAGTATTAAAATTTTATTTTAATAATTTATAAATTATTTAATATATATATTTTTAAAAAAAAACTTACAAATAATAAATGATAGCCCAACACTCCAATCTGTTCGTTTGGTTTCTTCCATCCAAGATCCAAGTTTTGTTTGCAGAATATCATTAGCCTTCTCGACAGAGCCTTGGCATTGGGGGTAGCATGGTCTTCCATGTATGAATTTAACTGAGGGCCAAAGTTTCATAGTTTTTTTTATTATATTACCAACAAACTCACCACCATTGTCTGAATGTAAAACAGATGGTGGTCCATATGTTAAGCAAAATTGCAAAAGAAAACTAGATGCTTCTTCTGCAGATTTCAAAGTTGCAAGCTGTGCAGCAGAAAATCTCGTGAAATGATCACGGATATGTATGATATACTTGAACTCATTATCTGGTATTGCCATCATATTTATTGTGTTAATCTTTATTTAATTATATTATATTAATTAATTATTGATATAATATAAAAAAAAATAAATTACATATATAAATATAGATATTACCTGAACGTGTGCAAGAAATTTCTCTGCAATTATAGGTTTATTCGTTTTGTTGCACGTCATGTGACACATACATTACACTGTTTCACGGCATTTTCTACAATAGTTTGAGGTATAAAACAGTATCTTTGCCGAATCTATTAATATAAATATAAATTTAAATATATATATTTAAAAAAAAATTTTTTTTTATAAAATTATAAACTTACTTTTAACCATGTTTTTTCTTGCCCACCATGTTCTGTATCTTGGTGGGCCTGACAAATTATAACATAAAAATCTTCTATGGGACAAACTTGTGTACCCCGATTATTATTTTCAGATTTAATGTTAAGCTCTTCAATAGCTCCAACCTTAATTAGTTTAAATGAATTAAGAACCCAATGCTTAAAGTTTGGATTTTCATGATTACTTGGATTTCGCAAAAGTGTTATACAACGATTGTATTTTAAACGATTCATTATACGTCTTTCATTCTTTCGATTATTCATATAATCGGCAACAATTTGATCAAACGTTTCAAGTGATAAAAATGAAAAAACCGTTGAATTATTGGAAGTCATATCGATGCGAAAAAAAAAGAAATAATAAAAATTATTGTAATTGCTTCTATTTAAAGTCTAATTTTTTTTTAAAAAAAATCTTTATTACGTATTTCATAATTAAATTTGAATGAGTAAAAAATCATTTTTTTTTACGTAATTAAAAAAAGTATCGTATAGTTAAATTTGAGCTCAGTAAAGAATGACATATGTTACATCTCAATCGGTATAAATTTTAAAATAACATGTGTTGATTTTAAACTCAGAGGAATCGTAAAGCGACGTGCAACA